TTGTGAGGAATAAGCTAATTCCCCTCTTTGGGGAACAATTCCTTAGTCACTCCTGTACTGACTGACATGCTGGGTGCACCCAGCCCTGCCCAGCCACCTGCTTGGTGCTGAAGGCCTTGGGCCCTCTGTGGAGGGGTGCAGGCTGAGGCAGGGGTCTCCTGTTCTTTCCCCCCAGCCCCCAAGGGCCTGGGGCTGGCTCCCCATCCCATGCAGCTTGTGCATAACCCTTGCACTACAAGGAAAGTGGAACCTTAAAGCCAGACACAGAATACTGTTTGCTGAAATGAAGCTTTGATTGCTTACACTAAGCCCAAGAAGAAGAGTCTCTGATTACCTGCATTGTGCAGTTAAAGCCTGGGAGAGGCTGCTTGCTTGTTTGTTTTACCTGTGAAGATGTGTGATCCTGCATTCTTGGAATGCAGAGGAAATCCTGAGATAGGAAAGCCAGTAGGTTTAGAGATGCGCATTGGGCTAGGGTAGGTCCCCAGCTCAGGAGGGTGTCCTCTGCTTCAGGGGAGCTGATATCTGCTTTTATGGAGTACTCCAGCACAACCCAAGACACAGCAAGCAGTGAGACCCTTCTGCCAGGCAATGTGTGGTGAAAGCAGTATACAAGGGTACACTAGCCTGGAGGACGGTTTCTGGCTCTGACAGTGTTGTTTTTCTTTTCAGTATTACGTGCCATATTATCTGCTTCCAGATTTCACAGAAAGGGATGATGTTGCAGGTGATGTGAAGAGAATGAAGGACTGCACAGGTAGAAAGGTGTTCCCATTGCCTCTGGTGCAGAGGTCTGTTCCACTCCCTGCTGGGAGGCTCCTGGCAGGTAGGGGTCCACTGCCAGATTCCCAGCTCTCTGGCTCTGTCACTGGCTAGTCGGATGTTGAAGCGAGCCATTGGGTAAATGTTGATCAGCCTGAATTGGGATCAGGAAGCCCTGGTCTGTAATAGGTCCATCTTCAGCCACCATGTTCATGCTTTCGTGATGGCTGGAAGGATTGACTGTCATCCAGGGGACTTTGCTAAGATTTCATTGTCTTCCCTGTTGGCTTTCTCTCATCCTGGTTGGTGTCTCTGCTCCCACTAGTTTTCCTTAACTTTCCTCTTCCAGATTTTATCCTCATGGCGCAGGGCATTCACATGCATGCTTCCAGGATCCAGTGGGGCCTGGTGATGTGCTTTCTGTGCTTCTTTGGTACCTTTGCAGTGGAGTTCAGGCACTACAGATTTGAAATCGTTTGCTCTGAGTACCAGGAGAACTTTCTGAGCTTCTCCGAAAGCCTGTCGGAAGCCTCTGAGTACCAGACAGATCAGGTGTAGCCTGTCCTCTGACAGGGGGGAGCGGGGTAGGTGTGGTCTCGTGGGTTAAACATGACCTCATTTACACTTCTTTGATGAGTTTATTTTCATGTGCAATCATGATCGTATTGCCAAAGGCCTCTAAGGGTGGCTGTTGTGTTAGGAGCCAAATAGGTGTCTGCTGGAAGAGGAGTGGATCCTTCTCGGTGGCAGCATGAGGGAGCACAAGCTGTTTAAGTTTGTGCTACCACTGACTCTTTGAGTGACTATGTCACACTGTTCAAAACGTTCAACAGCCAGTCCTCATGATGCCCCTCCAGGACACGGCACTCCTCAGCCTGTTCTGCAGAGGAAGAGATGAAGGAAACTGACTTCTCTGGACAGCAGGATTCTTCAGGAGTCGCTGTTTCCCGTGTCATCAAGCTGCAACTTCTGTGAGTTTCTTACGTTGTTTTCTTTGCTGCCAACTTGTGTAACTTGGTAGGGTGAGAAAGGCTGTTTCTTCTGGACTTGCAATCGGGCAGTGGAAGACCCCAACCGACTGGCTTTGATGGGGAGCAGGCAGGCATTTGTCCAGCCTGGAAGCTGGGTTTGGCAGAAACTGCTGTGATCAGGAAGCAAGACTTGGCCAGTGCTGCCTTATAGGTGGGCAGACCATCCTCCGGCCAGAGGAGATGGCACAGGGAGGTGCTGTGTTTGGCTTCGTGTTTCAGACTCAGTGGTGGGGACTGGTGGAAGTGAGGCACTGAATTAAGATGAGAATGCCTGTGAGCTCTGAAGATGACCCAGAAAAGGCTGCTTTTTGTAAGTGTGTAGTGCGTCTACCACATACCATCTATGATATTTCAAAAGCTTTTGGCTTTGTTTTTATTCACCAAGAGGGAAAACATTGTTAGCAACACTGGGTTCACCTGCACTGAGAACAGAACCCTTGAAGGTGGTTCTGGGCAAAGAGTTTGGTTTTGCTCCTTCGTGCACTTAGAGCAGAAAGCAAGAGCTCAAGGCCCCCATTTGAAAACCTGTCTTTGGGAAGGCTGCTGTATTGGCTGTACAGGGGAGCGATGAGAGCTGCTTCTCAGGTACATGGCTCCTGTTTTCCACCATGAGCCAGGCTCAGCTTAGGTCTGCATCCTGTCTGAGCTGCTGGAAAATATAAGCAGAAATTAAAATGGTGACTGAAGGTGTTTGAAGGGGAACTCATACCACACCATGGCATTTCTGACAGAGGGAAGAGGCACGAGGGCATCCAGTCTTCTGCACAGGCCAAAGGCCTCTCCTGAAAGGAGAGACAGTTGAGAAAAACTCATGTCAAAACTAGTCTAAGTAGAAAGCTTTCAGCCAGCCCTGTATCTTCTGCGGGCCAAAATCTGTTCTCATGCAGCTGTGTTATAAATCCAGAGCATCTCCAGCCAACAGAGAATTGTTGCTGCACTGCTGAGGGCCTCCTACTTGTAGCTGTGTCCTTAGCGGGAAGAAGCTTTCCTGAAGAGATGTGTTGGAAGAGTGGCCCATGGGCACCCCAGACACAGAGCTCCTCCTGGGCAAGGGCAGGAGGGGATGGAGAAGACGCAGGTGGGAATCCTCTTCCATGGGCACACACAGTGTATATGGAGCACAAAACAGAGATTTGTTTAAAGGGTGTTACACTGTAAATAGTCCACTGTGACCCTTTTTTTTTTTTTTTTAATCCATTAATACTTTCAGTTTATTGTTTTATATTTTGTAATTTTATCAGAGGAAAAGAAAAGATTGTGTGCTTTTTTTTCTTTCTTTCTTTCTCTCCTTCTCCTATATGCAATCCAAAGTGAACTTCAGGTTTTTGGTGGTAACTCTGTACATTTCTTAAGAGTATTTCTAACAGCACATTTCAGTACAACTAAATGACAGCCGATATACACTGAAACACGACCACTAAATAAAGTGCTTTTATGGAGAAGGTGAGTTTTATTTTTGTCCCCTACCCCAAGCATAGCTTTCTGATGGCAAAGACAAAACAGAAGTTGAGTATTTACAGTGTCATGATTATAGTTAATCCCTTAAGGAAGCCAGGGACTGTTCAGCCATGCAGATACATTTACTGTCACTGTGCTAATTAGCAGGCTCTTTCTAGGAGGAGGATCATACTCACTACACAGCCCAGAAGGGCATCCAGACTAGCTGCCTTACCTGCTACCATCAAAGGTTTAGAAAGGTGATGCTGGCATTATGCGGTTTCCTCCCCAAATGCCTGTCTCTTGCTTGTTCTTCACACAGCAGCCTCCCTCAACAAGGGCAGCTGTAGGTGCTGATCAGGGCTCAGGAAGGCACCACATGTGTTAGTGTTACATTTCAGCTGTCCCCGAGGGAAAGCTCAAGCACAGCCACACAGAAGTAAGTAGCAAGTGACACCATGCAGGAAGTGCCAGCAGCAGGGAACTGGGGTTTCAGGCTGCCTCTGCCTCTGCTATTGCTAGGTATAACCTAGCTGTGGCTCTCACTCCTGCACCTCCACTGAGCCCTTACTAAAATGGTAAGATGGTCACGAAGGTAATGCAGCTTCCTTGGCAAGACAGGATTGTCTTAAGGAAAGGACCAGGGAGGGTGAAAGCAGAAAACCAAAGTGCTCACAGGTTTAAAAAAACCCAAGAGATTTGCCTTTAGGTGCTGGGATCACTGGTGATAAGACAGGAAGGCTAAATGGGATGGAGTGAACACAATGAAAGCAAATTATGTGTTTTTATTTCAACATTAGGAAAAGCCCCATGACCTGATAGAAATTGGCACAATTTAGGTTGGGTGGATAAAAATGTCAGGGTTTTAATTCTCATCGAACGCAGCAGGATGTCCCCCTCAGCAGCAGACAGTTGCCAAGGTTTGCTCACAGCTGACCAGTGCTATGAGCGTGTGACAGGGTGGTGGTTGCTACCGAGAAGGAGCTCCACAAGTTAGTGCTAAGGGAGATACTTCAGAAACATGGTCAACCTGACCTTGGTGTTCAGCCAGCTGAATTCCATAGCCCAGCACCATGACGCAGCAGTGAGGTGCATCTACAATTTAATTTTTAAAGCTATATTTATATATACTCTATTTCATTCTTGTAGGATGGCTGTATAGCTCTGAAAGCTATAGTCTTACACTGTTTTGTACCTAGACCTGCTCTGGATATAGCCAAGACTCGTCTGAAGAACTTGCTTGCAGCAAGGGCTGGCTTTTTCTGTGGCAGCCCAAACCTACTGTACTATAGCCCACAGCTGGCATTTTCCTTTGGGCATCCTAACCTGCCTTTGAAAGCTCTGCCTTAGCCAGCAACCCTGTCTGCAGGGAAAAGCTCTCATGCCCACAGGGTCCCTAGAGGTCCCTCTGGAACAAGGGGACATAAATCTTGTTGGCAGACTGTTTCTACAAATGACAGAGCTCCTCCTGGAGCGTCTCAGCACCAGATTTCAATGGGTGAGTCTGAAGAAAGCATCCCCTGAACTAACTGGGAAAAGGGAGGAACAGCAGGACCCATGGGTGCTGCTCCTCACCCTGTTCCCAGCTCCAGCTGGCTGCTGCAGGCCTCCGTCCTGCTGCACCAGGGACCCCACGCCATACTCTCCATCCATACCTGCCTGCACTAGTCGCGGGTCCAAGACACGATGTGGGTTTGGCTTTAAAATCTGATTATGGACAAAATTACCTAACATTACACAAGGACAATTCAGGTGAAGCAGAGTCTTTTGTGCATGCACCACTTTCCCTAAGTGGAGGAAGGCAGGAAAAGTTCAGTGAAAGATGAGATGAGGCTGTAATAGGATTTCTCATCGTCTGTCAGTCCTGCATTGCCTGGTCTGATCACCACAGCCACGTGAGTATCCGCTTCCTCGGCTGCGTTGGCTTCTGAAACAGAAGTGGGGAGAGTGATGAGATGTGCTTACTGAGCTCTCCACATGAGGGTCTTTATGGTTTGGAGATTCCCCAAAACACTGAACTGCTTTTAAAGGTTGAGACTGAGAAAGCAGCATTTGCACTGCAGGGCTCTAGAGCAGAACCAGCTCCCAGCTGACCTGCTGTGGTGACTGTAGCTGCTGTGTAATGTGAGTGGACAGGAGCTGCCTGCTTTGCAATGGCAGCTGATGGCTGTCCAAGGCACTGCGCAGGCAGCGCACACCAGCAGCTTGGTTCCTGTCATGAAGAAGCTGGGCTGTGGCATTAGTGAGCCCAACACCCTCACCCCACCCCTGCTGGGGGTCACTTTTCACAAGCCTCCTTCACTCCCTGAGCACAGCAAGAGGCTGCAGGAAGACAGTACAGGGAAAAGGAGGTAACTGCAGCTCCCTCCAGCTCTGTTGTCCAAGGCTGGGGAGGACATAAGGGCTTAACTCCTGGGGATGGAGCTGGCTTAGACTGAGATCACAACGCAGTGCTATTTCTGCCAGAAAGACACTTCCAGCAAAGGCAGGAGCTTGAATTAAGCTCCTGAACCTCGTTTTCCAGGGGTTAGGTCCTCATGACCAGGAGCAATGTTTTCCTGCTGCTGAACACAACCTAACAGTAAGTGGCACAAAGAACCAGCCAGCGTGTGTGCCACAAGCAGACATGGGCTGCTCCTCTGAGTACAGGTCACGAAAACCACCGACCCTGTTTGTAAGTGGGGCATGCCAACTGCTTCAGCAAATGCTCTGCTTTAACCGTGTCTCCTTACTTGCTGGTGCAAGGGCAGGTTTTCTGCTTGACCTATTTTCTCTCAGTGCAGCGCTGCTCACAGATATCCCACTGCTGTGTGAGAGCCTGGATATGTAAGGAAGGAGCATGGCAGCAGCTAGGGGCATGCCTCTGAAGCAAGGTGGTCTGCAGCACTTCCGGGGTGCTTGTGACAAGTCAGCAGGACAGCAGGACTGACAGGACACCTACCTCGAGGGACATCCGTCAGGAAGAGGATGTTGTTGGTGGAGCACCCAATACTGGCAGCAATCCTTCTGTAGCTCTCACTTTCTACCTTGGGACCTATTTTGGTATCAAAGTGGCCATCAAAGAGCTGGAAGAAAGAGAAAAGCAAAGGCACTTGCTGAATGCCATCTGAAGAGCAGGGCTAAACCTCACTCCCGAGTGAGACGTTCCCTTTCCTTTCTACCACAGTAACGGGGGGTGATGCAGCATGCCACCACACTGAACTGGCTGAACTCCGGCGGGTCAAACCCACTGCCCCACCTTCCTGTCCCAGATGCTGTTCATGCAGTGTTACAACAAGGGAAGTGCTCTGCAGAGGGAGAAGCTGTAAGGAAGGTGATAAGGTTATCTACCTCTAGGATATCACCTTCTGTAGAATAGCCAAACAGGAGCTTCTGGGCTTCAATGCTGCCTGAGGAGTAGATATAGACCTTCATCCCAGCTTCCCGCCACTTCCGAATAGCTGGAACCACGTCCTTGAAGACTCTGGAGCAAAACAGGGCAACAAGTAAGGGTAAACCCAGAGGCACCTGGAGAGACACCTTTAGCCAGGCGCTCTGATAACTGTCCCATTAGTTTGCAAGGGGACTTCATTCTCAATCTGTTCCAGGCTTCCGCAGTTGGGGAGTGGATTTCAGCAGCTGGTGATAATGTTCTTAGCTCCAACCAACAGAGCAGCTCATTGACTGCTATGCAGACAGCAGCTCTGACGAACCATTTCGGACATTGGGCAGGAGTTTCTCCAGCCTCTTCAATTTATAGAGAGGAGGAAAAGTCAGGGAAAACAGTATCCCACTGCTTTTCTCTGCAAGGGAGGAAGAAGGTGTGTGTGGGGGAAGAACAGAGAAAACAGGCTTTTGTATCTTGAATCCCACCTGCCTTGCAAGCTACAAAGGTTTCCTGTTGGTAAGAACTATGGCCATAAGCTGCATCCATATGAGGCAAACCTCACCCAGATTCAGGCTCTGACCGTACATAGGGAGGAGGTGAGAGAAGGTTGCAGCTGCAGGAGCTAAACTGAATGGCACTGTATGAACTGTTTGGATGCAAACAACAGCTTGGGAAAGGAGCATCCCCCAGGGGATTGACATCAGAGCTGTTCTGTTCAGCAGCTCGGTGAGGTTGTAACAGTACTAAGCTGGATGTGTCCCTGGCTTAACTGTACTGCAAAGGATGAAAAAGCTCCTGTTCACCAGGCAGCAGCATCCTTCCCCTTACTCTTCTCTTCTGGCCTTGCAGAGTGCTGAGAAGGCAAGATACAAGTATAACAATGGCCTGATGAGTCTCAAAAACGTGAGCTCCATTTAACTCCTGGGTAGTAGCTGCCCAAAGACAAGCCCAGCAGGAGGGAGCAAAGCTGTGAGAGGGGGAAGGACGACCAAAGCCAAGGTAACTGCTGTATAAATGCTAACGGACATGTGTGTCTGTTGCCTCATACCCTTCTCATTTATACCATGAGACCTCCCCAGTTCTGTACTTACAATGCAAAGGACGTTTACAAGATGACACATATACTCGGGTAAAGTGAAAGCTTGAGGATGCTCAAGAAGGACAATGTGAGGCTGACTATAAGTCTCTCAATAATACATGTGATGATTGATAAGGAAAAGCCACAAACAGCCTCGCAAGGATAGGCAGGGGATTCGAGTCTGATACGGCAGAAGTATGCAGAGAGGAACTGGAGGGGACATGATCCCCAGGGAACCTTTTTCACCCCAATCCAAATGGCCTCCTTTCTACCTGCACTGCACAGCTCTGTGTGGCCACTTGGGGTACTGCACTGAAAAGGGGATCTGAACGCCTGAAGAAAGAGGGCTCCAACTAGATGCAAAGGGAATGAGTTTTGCAGACTTGTAGTAATCAGCTGTCCCCTTCCTCATCCTCAGCTTCTTGGACATGTGCTCAGAGCCTTGTTATGTTATGTATTAAAAAAAAAAAAAGTTAATTTTTCCAGAGTTATTTATCAAACATCTCTGGTGTCACCTGAAAATATTTTGAGGTTGTACAGCACCCACAGAAACTCCCATCCACCCTCAGGTCTTCACATGCTGAAGTGAGTGTTCAGACACTGATATGACAGATAGATACAAATGGGCAGGAGGAGACTTTAAGGATCTCATTGCTTGGATGCTGCCAAGCAGCAAGGCTAGCTCCACAGGTTTGGGGCCACTATAAGACAATTACCTCTGTTTCTAAAAAGAACTGTTAGCCCTGTCGTTTAAAAGCCACCCAACAGGACGGCTGTCTCTCTTGACTCGCTTTTGGGTTTTGTTGCTTTCTCTGGTGGATGTTTACATTTTTCTGTGAGCTTTGTCTTCTTCCTCATTCTTCCTTTTGCAAAACACTTTGTGAACTTAAGGTTTTGGTTTGCTTCCTTAGGAACTTGAAATGGATAGTTTAACCAAGCACCCCGCAACCTAAACAAAAAGGTCAGGCTTAACTCCAGTTATCCCTACTTACGCATCCTTTGATGTGGCTGAAACACAGAGAAGAGCCTGAAGATAGACAGAAGTGGAAAGGCAGGAAATACACAGGTAAAAGACAAAGCAGGAGGAAATAACTGAAAGGACCTGACCCTGAAACCCTGGGCTGTTTAGGCTTGTTCCAAACTGTGAGTGCAATTCAGGGATATAAAATGCAAGATGGAGAGCTGTAAGAAGGTCATACTTGCGCCTCAGTCTCCTGGTTTGTCAAAAAATCTTGTGGTAAATAGAGAAATATGGAGACATTTTCTGAATTCCTAATGCAGAAGACAGCTGTCCCAGATTAATGTTCTGGTGGTTGTGGAAGCAGAATTGCCCCATGTCACACCTCCATTACCTTGTTCTGTTTCTCAGAGCCCATCTCCTTTACTGATGCAGCCCAGGTGGCTGGAGAACTGGCTGTTCCCCAGCATGTACCTGCTGGTTATTCCTTAAGGAGAAACTTGATCACCCACTTGTCATCTTCCCTGTAGGGACTGAGACAACTTGGTCAATCCCAAGGTTACTGTAAGCTTTTGGTTGCCTAAAATCTGAAGACTGAATTTGTGTTCATTGCGTGATCAAGATTTGAAATGAAGTGTCAAATGTACTGGCTTCTCCACTGAGCTGGTAATCCTTATGCAGCTATTCTATTAACACACATCTACTGCAGATGCACCCCATTCCTGCCCCAGGGAAAGGATCACACAATTACTCACTCTCCTTTGACAAGGCCAGTTGCATACGCTGCCCTCCACATGTGACCCTGAAGCTGCTTCAGTGCTGTGGTCTTCCTGTCCATAGACATCTGCCAGTGCACGTTGTCTACGACCGCCTGGATGACCCGCTCCAGCTCCTCTTCCCCACTTCCGCTCTCCAAAGGGATTGGCACGGCTCCATCCAAGCTAGAGTCCTCCTGAGCCTGGAAACCATCCATGATAAGAAGAGGTGAGGGAAGAGGTGGAGCAGCCTCGCCATCTCAGCTCAGGAAAGAGGTCCGACACCTGCATCAACGCACCTCTGTGCAGGACATGGCTTGAACTGCTCTTCACATGAAGGGTTACAACACTGTCTGAATGCTTTTCTCAATGGGAAACTCAGACTTCTGTAATGTCTAGAAATACTTGCTTGGACTGTACTTTCCAAACCCAACAATTAGCACTACTGTAGCTGTACTACTGTAAATAATAATGAGAATTATACTTGCTTAAGTATTTAATTACTGAAATTAAGGCAAAGAAGCAAACTTATCTGTTGGCTTCCAACAGCCCCAGTTCTCAAATTGAAGCCTTGTCCCTGTATAGAGGCAGGATACGCTGCCCTGTGTGGGACAAGTACTCTGCCATCCCCCCCTGTTGCTTCCTGACCTGGCATCTGAAAGGCACAGGCAGCGAACTCAGCAAGAGAAGGGCATAGTGCAGGCACAAAGCTGAAAAGCCACGGTTTGATGCCTTCTCTCAGGGGCTGTGAAGACCAAAGCAGGCATCTGAGCTGCTGCCTACTAAACACCAGCCTTTCCCTGAGCACAACCCCGGGCTTTGGTGGGGGAGAATCAGCCCATCGAGGCAATCAGCCAAAGAGAAGCATGGACTCCTGTTGGGTGACAGGGGGAGTGTGAGTGACCTTAAGTCTCAGGCACGTTGTGAAGCCCCAGAAAGACACAGTATGGCTGTTACTGGACCTGTTTCCTCAGAAGCCCGACATCCCGCTGGCACTCCTCCTCCTCCCAGTGAGCACGCAGGTACTCCTTCACGTTGTCCTTGATGTAAGGGAACAAGGTCTCCTGGCAGCACACAAGAAAAACAGGCAGCTCCTTTAACCTGGCAGAGGTAAGGCTGACTTGCTTGTGAAGTACCCCTACAGTACTGCAGCTTGTGAAGCTGCCTGCTAAGGGTGTCTGCCTCATTGCAGGCCAGAGCCAGCCTGAAGTCATGATTAGTGCAGGTGGATTTCTTGCACAAATGCTCACACAGCTGTAACTTTTACATCCCAGGATGGAAAGGTGGGTGATAACTTTTCCTGGGCTTGCCAAAAACACGTCTCAAATGGCACACACGATCCCCAAGCTCCCATCAGCTGAGGAGTACAAGGGTGGCTGTGTACGTACTCTGAAATTACAGTACTTTTAATGGGGCACTTGTCCTAACAAAGCTTGTTCAGAATACACATGTCAACCTCCTACCAGCATTAGAGGACCTTTCCCAAAGGAAAAGTCCAGTCCAGTAACACTGAGCTCCATAGGACACTCTTGCAAATGAAACAAAATGGGGTTAGGGAGAAGTGCCACAGGAGAATCACAGACCTTCCCACAGATCCCCAGAGTGACCAGAAATAACTATAAATTGCTCTCATTAGTAGTGTTTCACAACTGAGAAACCACGATGGCATCTGTTGGTGTGGGAAGAGCCTCAGGACAAGGGGAAGAGCAGGAAGCTCCTTCCTTCAGGTACAGAACTAAGCTTTTCTTAACTGGGAAAAATTTGGGATGGGGAGGAGATGGGAGCTCACCTCTCCTCAAAAAATGCCCAGTGATGCCTTTCTCTTCACTGTAAGTTGCCTTTCACTTGCTACTGAATTAAGAAAATGGTGGTCCTGAAAGTGTGATGTGGAGGCAGAACTGCAGGATTTTCTATTACTCCAATATTGCATTTTCCACGTTGTACATTTAAAAAACAATGTAAATTTAGGGGAAAGGAAAATATCTTAAATGCCTAGAAAATCACCACCAACTTGCCTATGGAGATCAACAGCCTTGCAATACCCCCAGTTACTCTCTCACTTCCTTTACTTGGGCTTAGCTGCTTTCAAACTACTTTCTAAATCCTGGAGGGCTCCTTGGTGATGTCCAGTCCCAGCTGTGGCTGCCCCAACACAGCCTGGCATGATGGAGGAACAGGCATAAGCAAGCACAGCTTGACAGCCCCCTCAAGCCTTTGCAACTGCTCACAGCAGTGTCACAACCAGTATGGGAAGGGTTGTGTTTCCACTATCAGCAGAACTGCAGGTAAGACACTGCAATTAGCGCTTGCAGGATTTCAAGCAATCAGGGTAAATTTTGTTCTCAATGTCCACGCAGACTAAGTTCAGCTACAATCTGCTCTTCTTACAGGAGATCCAGCAAATCCCGGGGGGATGCAGTTTACCACATTACGTCTCTCCCCTGCCATCTACTTTTCTCTGCCAGTGTGGACCCAGCAAAAGAGAAAACTTGGTGACCTTGAACTAGGGGCCATCAAATGTTCTCTTTTCTGCTATCTTTCCTCAATTCACCCATCAACCGGCTCATTCTATTTCCTTACTTTGCACATTCAATAATTCTAATACTAAAGAAAGGATTAAACAAAATCCTTTAATATTAAGGAATAAAATGCCTGCAGAACCAGCAGTGGCACTTTTAAGGGGAAACAGAAATTGTGAAGGTTAACTGAAAGTCCAAGTGAAATAACTTGTTTCAAGCACCTTCAGGATACCAGCAAACTGAGTTTTACTGAGAACCGTAACTCATTTGGCCTTCCTGCAACAGAAAGATTTTTGGTAGGAAACCATCTCAGGCTTATTGCATGTATTTGCACAACGACAAAATGGATTCAAGGTGGATACACATAAACAACTCCGTGGCTCCATTAGATGTCTAGGAGGAAATCTGAGCTGTTCAAACTGTTTAATTTGAAAGATGTTGAGGGGAAGGAGGCAGCTGTAATGCCATCTAGACCTGAAGTTTCAAGAGCACTGGAAGAACATGGACAGGAAAGATGTAGGTCAAGTTGTTCATCTGTTAAAACTGTGTTAGCAGAAACACCTCGAAAACCTGGCAAAGCCTTCACCCCTCTGTGCATTATGTGGGTCAGAAGAACCTTCATGAACTACCAGCAAAAAAAGATCCACCAAAAGCTATAATGTCTCATGAGAAATACAGGTTAATGGTTGCAGAGGGATAATGTCGTTTAGTGTCTTCAATACGAGCAAACTGCTCCCTCCCGTGAAGCGCATGAGCCTGGTTGGGGACCAAAACCTCCTGGAGAGGAGGGAACTGCAGCGGTTGGAGAACTGAGAATTTCAATAGCATGTTTACAGCGTTAGTCCCGATGCCTCCTGCTGGCCTCGCAGACTTCCAGCTCCCCTGGCTTCTGCAACTCATCCAGCGTTTTTAATGGTCTCAAGCCTTCTCCTAGGCAGGGGAAGCCATTCATACATACTCGCTGTAAACACAATCTTCCTCATGTACACTTGATGCTGGACTACCCTCCCCCTGCGCTGGTCCTGTGCATGCGGGAGGAAGGACACACATCTCCGGTGACACTACAAGGATGTGACTGTACCACGCTTCTGAAGCGAAAAAGCAGCGGATGGATAACCCCGAGACAGCACTCCAGGCTCTCTGCAAGCTCGGGTGAGGTGCTGCAGCTCCAGCCATCAGAGCAAGCGACGCTCCACGGCTTTTCGTAAATGAGGCTGAGAGCTCTCCAACTGCCCTATATCCACCAAAAAAACCCATTCACTAAACTGCACCGAACCCGAACAGTCCCGTTCCCCTGCCCACAGAAGAGGCAGGCGATGGATGGGTATAACGATACGTATTTTCTCATTCAGAAAAGACCGAAAACGGGTCACGGTTTTACGCTTCTGAAGGAAGCTCAGGCCTGCCCTCCACAGCCCCGGGAGAGGCGCTTCCCCGCCGCGGGGGCCGTGAATGGCACCATAAGCAGGGCCGCTGCCTCCCGTTCCGCCGGGTCTCACCTGGACGAAGGCGATGGGGGTGGTGGTGCCCTCGATGTCCAGCAGGATGGCGCGC